GTCACACACAACCAACCACAGGTCGTCGACGCAACCACCACACAATGTTTAACCGCACTGCAGGTTGCTACGCAAGTCGATGCAGGGAAAGCATCCCACGAGTCGATCCTGAAAGCATCTCACGATGTTCATGAGAATCGAACGCGTGACCTCCCTCTTGGGAGGCAAACACTTAACCAAACAGCTAAGTGGACTGGGGTGAAAGTTAAGCCCCAAGATGAGCACTTAACCCCACCCCAACACGGATTTCTCCGCGTCCTGGTGTACCCAGTCACACACAACCAACCACAGGTCGTCGACACAACCACCACACAATGTTTAACCGCACTGCAGGTTGCTACGCAAGTCGATGCAGGGAAACTCACGAGTCGATCCTGAAAGCCTCTCACGACGAACGCGCGAACTCCCTCTTGGGAGTGGACTGGACTTTTTTGGATAAATGCATGACAAAAATGAATTTTGGTCCCGATTTTCGAAGATGGACTGCAATCCTCCACCGCAATGCCACCACCCGGGTTCAAGTTAATGGGGTGTTAGCCCCGAAAATTCCTCTTCAAAGATCGGTCCGTCAAGGGGACCCTTTGGCCCCCTTTTTATTCATAATAGTGATGGAAGCATTGGCCACAAACCTTCGAACTAATAAAGACATCAAGAAACTCCGGGTCTCTTCCATCCCTGAGGAAGCGATCCCTATTTACTCCATGTTCGCAAATGACTTAACAGTTATGGTGGATGCTTCCCCGGAGAATATGGAGGAGATCAGGAGGCTGATGGATAGGTTTACTGCAATATCGGACATGACTATTAACTGGGGAAACAAGACACTTGGTTGGTGGATCCATCACCAAGGGGTGCATCCCCCTGAGTTGCCACGGGTCAAATGGGTGTCGGATTGGGCATCATGTTAACAGCCATAGGCAAACCGACATCTAACGATGACTCTATTTTAAAACCCGCGCTTGAGAAAATTACCCAGTGGAATGACAAACACACATCGCTGATGGGCAGCGCGCTGGCTATCAACAATGTGGTTTTGGCTTCACTGTGGTATAGGTCGGCAATATGGGCCCTGAGCAAGGAAGAAGAGGCAAGTGGCCGCGCTACTATGGAGCGGGGATAGCAGGCTCCCTAATGTCATTAATAGAGTGGCATGGTCAGCAGTCATTCAACCCAAGGAAAAAGGACTAGGGATTCTGGACCCCACTATACAAATTACAACATTGACTAGACAATGGATCAAGAGGCTTATATTTACCCCCCTCCTCATGTGGCGTGCCATGGCTTTGGAACAGATTGCACGATTGGCCCCCCAGGAGGTGGATTCCCTGTCCTGGTTAGAGGACCGGTTCTGGACTATTCCACGATACTCTAAGACCCACGGGGAGTCTGATCGAAGAATGGCCAGAACGGACTTGACCAAGGACGATTTCTGGGTCAAGGCCCTGCGCGCATGGCGCCAACTCCCGCTGCCTGACAAAGGGTCACCAGATAGATGGGAAGAGGTAGCGAGACAGCCGCTTTCGGCAATATGTGTGTTACTGACTCAAATGGGAGGGTCTATTGTAGCTCTATCCCCCCTTGGAACTGTTGGGTGAGAAGAGGTGTAACAAGAATCAGGGACATATGGGATAGGGACGAAAGACAATGGAAAACTGCTCAACAATTGAGGTCCACCCTGAAGTCTTGTCACCACATTGAACAAAAGTTGGACCAATTGATCTTTTCTATTCCCTTGGACTGGGTGCGCATTTTGCGAAGGGGACCGAGACTCCGGAAAGGGGACTGGATTGCAATGACGATGGATAGTGAGAATGTGGGTAGGGTGATGGAACTACGAGAGGATGAGGTGTGGGTAACCCTCTTCCACCGGGGATTGGATAATCGTCTTGCAAGGTATCTGCACGATGAGAAGAGAAGGTAGCCGAAGGCGGACTCGTTCAGAATTAGGATAGTGGGGGAACAAGAGGAATGGGTAGCTTTCCTCCCGGAAATCCCGCTTGCCAAACTCCCCATCGACCCGCTGGAATGACAATGGTGCCCGTCCGGCAAGATCAGATCTGGGAAAGTCAAGAAACTGTTCGATCTGTCTGTGAAAGTTACATACCGGTTTCTCAGGCCTCGGGTTGATCTTAGGAGCACCGTGCGGGAGGACTGGATGTCCCGGCTGAATGTGGGAAGGGACTGTCTCCGCCCCATCCAAAGGTTCACCGCCACAAAGGTCAGACCACCAAAGATGGCCTCCCTGCAATGGCAGATAGAACAACGCTGCCTCCCCACAAACGATTGGCTGATTGACCGAACATATTTGGAACAAAAGGGTTTAGCCACACCATGGTGCATGTCCTGTCTGACAGTCTTTCCTGCCCGCAAGATCCCGAGACCATAGAGCACATTTTTCTACAATGTCCAAGGGCGATCCTCACTTGGCGCCGGTGGGATAGGATTTGGAGGTCACTGGGTATAGAGTCTAAATGGCCATGGGACTGGAGAGTGCTTCTGTGTGAAACATGGCTACCCCCTACAAACAACATTTTTGAAGAAAATATGTTCAAGATCGGGAGGAGGGCCGTTATTTGGGCTCTTTGGAGGAAACGATGTATATCATGCATTGAAAAAGTAAGATTAGAGGACGGGGAAATGACCGAGCTAATCAAACAATATGTCCAGGATGAACTTACAATACAATGGCAGACAGTAAAAGCTAAACTGGATAGAACTCATACCAAAAAGGACATAACATAGGCTATTGAGCAATTCTCAAGGGATTGGTTGGGAAGTGACCAAGGGGGTAGAGTAGCTTATGTTCGCTGGGAAGGAGGCAGTCTCCCAGAATGTGGAGAGGAGGAGGATAATATGAGACGAGACTACAACATCTGCTTTCAAGACTGGACAAAGGTGGATGCAGCAATACCGATGTGCTCCCCCTTGGACTTCCCTTACCCCTTCCCGCCTCATGGTCTATCAATGGTGGATCTCCAGTGGTATGGACTACAATGAGGGGGAGATAGGCACAGCGAAGATTGCAACTGCAGGAAGAAGGGGGCTGGATGGTCATATAGTTTTGGAGGCGTCAAAAATATTCAGTGGCTATTGCACAAAGCTGCCAGCAGCTATGGAATGGCACAGAGGGAGCGATAGTGGGGGATAGGATGGAAAAGGTTCTCTCACCAGCAACCTGCACAGTCAATCCTCTGGAGTATGGAGTAATCAATGCTGGTGATGATCTGACTCCCTATTCTGAATGCCTTTCTCCCTCCTGGTGCTGCAAGGGTTGGTTGGTAGATGATGAGGGTTTTAGAGTGGGGATTCGTCTTTGGATAGTGTGCCTATGTGGCAGTTCAGCTGACTGCTTATGTCGTCAGAAGAACGGACACGTGGCATGCATGCCAAATATGAGTTCTGGCTGTTTCTGTGGTAATTGACTTCTTTACTTCCTATTCTGAATGCCTCTTCTCCTTGTGGCGCTGCAAGGACTTGTCAGTTGACGATGAGGGTTTCAGAGTGGAATTTGACTTTGACGGCGATGAGCAGTTAATCCCCTCCGTTGAGGGCAATCAATGCTGCTCATCAGGTAAAAGAGTGTACCTGTGTGTCGGTTCGGTTGATCACACATTAACATGAATTCGGGGTGCTTACAGATTACCCGATTATAAATGTTGAGGGACGCTGGACCCGATTTCCAGCGGTTGCTCCCCACCAATAGATGGAGCCTCCCCGAGCATGTTAGTGGTGTCTGCTCTTATCAGCACCCCTAGCATTCACTCGGGTTGTTTTCTCCAAAAAAAAATATAATAAAAAAAAAAATGATGCTGAAATCTCCCGATTAAAGTTCATAGAATTATTTAACTAAATATTGTGATTAAATGTTTTTTTTAACTTTATTCGATTTTATTTTTGCAAATTTAGTGTATTCTTTAATTAAATATTTATTTTTTGCCAAATTAAAATTTTATTTAATTGTCTTACTTTCATGATCAAAATTCACTTAATTAAAATAATTAAATATTTAATTTAAAATTTTCAAAAAATCAATTTTTTTTGTGGGGGGAAAAAAAAATTCTTGATTAAGTGTCAGGTCCGAGGTCAGGGCAGAAGGGACTGTCTGTGCAGTTGCTTGCCTCCCTCCCTTCCTCCCACCCCTACCTTCTCTCCCCTCCTGTCGGTTTTGCGGACTTCAGCCTCCGGCCACGTTAGCATTGGGCCATTTTCAGCAGTGATATGTCAGCAGCAACGCGGAGCCAGGAATGCTAGATGCGCCGCAGTCAACGACTTGCTGAGCGCGGATCCAAGGGAACTAAGCCCCAACAGGGACTCAAGACACCTCAGATCCTGCGGAAACGACGCACGGCCATGGCCGATGCCGACGACGCCAATACGCAAGACAGCCCCAAGAGGCCGATTACTCCTCCAATGCAAGGTCAGCAGGCAGACAAAACACAACTAGCGTTTCTCGAACGTCTCAAGCTATAGACGGAGACTACTGCAGCTGAACTTCGCAAATGGGAACAAGCAGAAGCCGCCCGCCAGCAGGCGACTCGACGCCAGTTGGCAGAGGCCGAGGCAGCGCGTCAGCGAGCCGCAGCAGAAGCTGCAGCAGCCGCAAAGTTACAGCAACAACAGATCGAGACAAGTCAGAATCAAGTTCGTTACCAGACCACAATGGAGCTCACAAACGAAAAATCTACATACCGCAGGTTACTTCGACAACAACACTTTCAAGCAACTGAAGAACAGGAGAACCCGACCGAGGAAGAGAGAAGCAAGGAGGTCATAGCAGTATTGATGGAAAATCTGTTGTACACGTGCAATTGGCAGCAACGCGAACTGATGGCCATGCGGCAGATCTTCATCCGCTACGAAGGAACTTTTCGGACGCTGGAACAGAAGATCGCTGCCTTGCAGGCCGCCCATAGTCACAAGCAGACCATCAACGATCAGCTGCAGACCAACGTCAGCACAGGGTTGGCACGACTATTTGCAGTTGAGTCAACGGGCAGTGCAGTTTCAGACTGTAGCCCAACTTTGGCCACTCAAGCCAAGCAACTCGAAGAACGGATCAACCACGTAGTAGCATCCCTTGGCGACATCAACAAGTTTGTCGGGACGTCAACAGTCAGCAATCAGCTGCAGACGCTCAGCGACCACGTTCAACAACGACCGACCGCAGCCATCAAGGAATGGAAAATGCCGAACTTCAAGATTGAGAAATTCGACGACTACCACAAGACCGATTCGTTGCAATGGTGGATGGCAATCAACACGGAGGCGGACGTACATCACGTCCCACCCGAGCGGCGGATTGACGCGCTCTACCTCCAGCTCATCGGGGGGGCACAAGCATTCATGATTCGTATGGCCATCACGATGGAGTGCAGCATCGCCACCCTCCACACCAAGGTATATTGGGAGGACTTCGAGAAGAAATGGACGACCCGGTTCATGGTCAATAACGAGAAACGCCACAAGTTGAACAAGATCTTCCGCATGTTTCAAGGCCAGCAACCATCACGGGAATGGCTGACGGAGTGGCAAAGACTCGTCGCCACCTCGGAGTTGAACCTGCCGTTCGACTCAATCTGGGCCGAGTTCTTCGCCCGATCTTGCGATGCCTTGACAGCTGCCCTTGGCAGCGAATTTCAGTATGAGACCTTCGATGCGATGATCACAAAGGCAAAGGAACTCATACAAGGTAACCGGCGAGCGGCCAATGAGGATCGCCAACAACCTGGTTACGTGGAGAAAAGCAAAGGTCACCGAACGCCGCAAGTAGCAGCGATCCAGCGAGGATCTGGTGAGGACCACAAAGCCGCTTCAACATCAAGTGATGGAGATGTGGCGGCAGCGATACCACTGAAACGCTCAAGACCCTGTGGGGGAAAACAAAAGGCGAAAACAGCGTCGGCGGATGGAGCGAGACAGTCACCATGGACAAAGTTCGAGATCACCGAAGACATGTTCAAGTTACGACAGAAATGAGGGTGTTTTTTATGGTGCAACAGCACCAAACACATCGCTAGTACGAGCCCAGACAAGGACAAAGAAAATGTCAAGCGTCCAGGCTCGGGAAACTAAGCACCGCGGGAAGTGCAACAACTTTCCAGTCCGCCGGACTCGGCTGCCTTGCTAGTAGTCTCTCTCACGTCTGGGGATCCCGCGGTAGTCGCAAATTCGCGGATTGACTTCGAGAAATATGCTGTCCAGCTGGTCCCGCCGTTGAACCAGCCTCTCCACGTGCAAGATTCAAGCCCATGCTCGGTGTTACCGTCGTCGACCAACGAACCGGTTGCTTCGCCAGCCCTTCTATCCAAGGATCCGTCAACTTGGGCGAGTCTTGAGGAACTCGACCCGTTGACGATTGAGGACTTCCAATGGTTGCCTCTTCCCTCCACCGGTTCTTTGCCAACACCGCATTGCAACGCCCTCATGGCACATTTGCGCGAATACTTGCACGTTGCAGTACCACCTCCGTCGATGGATGACGGAGTAGCGGTTGTTGACCTTCGCAACTACCTTGTGAAGATCGACCACGAGCACGCAACGCGACGGTACGTCGACATCGACGCGCCGCTCCTCTACATCCGCATTCAGATCGGAAAGGCGACCTGCAGTGCCTTGATCGATTGTGGAGCCACTCGCAACTATATCAGCCAAGACTTTATGGCACGCGCCGGGCTTGGCCCGCGCGTTCGAAGGAAAAGTCAGACTATGCACGTCACGTTGGCCGATGGTCACACGCAAAAGTCAATCGACCGTTGTGCTGACTCTGTGCCCGTGTACTTTGCCCCACTAGCATGCGAGGCCGTGCCATTTGACATCTTGGACACTAAGTTTGATATGATCTTAGGCATGTCGTGGCTGCAAAGCGAAGACCATCCGGTAAACTTTTTCCCACGCACCGTTCACGTTCGTGATCGGCGTGGCGAACTAGTCCCATGCACGGTGCCGCTTCCTCATCCTTCGATTGGTTGTCACGTGGTCTCTGCGGCGAGCATTCGCCAATCCATCAGCCGACACGACATCGAGGAGATGGGCATTTGTTTTCTTCACGCCCTCCCACCCGTTGACCAGCCCAAGACGGACACATCGGACCCACGCATCATTGAGCTTTTGGACAGCTATGAGGACGTCTTCCAAGCTCCTGCCGGAGTAGTACCGGATCGGCCCATACGCCACGGGATCACTCTTGAGGACGGCGCCATACCTCCGCGCGGATGCGTTTACCGAATGAGCGAAGAGGAGCTTCAAGTGCTTCGGGCACAACTAGACGACCTCTTGCCCAAGGGCTGGATTCGCCCTAGCTGTTCGTCATACGGTGTTCCCGTTCTCTTCGTCCGGAAGAAGAACAAGGACCTTCGTTTGTGTATCGACTATCGGAAACTTAACGCGCAAACGATCAAGAACGCCGCTCTCTCCCGCGGATCAATGATCTCCTCGAGCGACTAGGCGGCGCCAAACACTTCTCGAAGTTGGACCTCAAATCAGGCTATCACCAGATCAAGATCCAGCCAAGCGGTCGGTACAAGACCGCGTTCAAGACACAGTATGGGCACTTTGAGTGGATCGTCATGCCATTTGGTCTCACCAATGCCCCGGCTACCTTCCAAGCAGCTATGACGACGAAATTCCACGACCTGCTCGACCACCGTACTCATTTACCTTGATGACATCTTGGTTTATAGCCGGTCGTTGGATGAGCACCTTTGCGTTGTATTGGAGGGGCTCCGTATCGCCAAGTACAAGGTGAACCACGACAAGTGCGAGTTTGCCCAGCAAGAGCTGGAGTATTTGGGCCATTATGTTATGCCGCAAGGCATTCGTCCGCTCGCGGACAAAGTACAAGCCATCTAAGATTGGCCGGACCTCTCGAGTACTACCGACGTCCGCTCCTTTCTCGGCTTAGCATCATACTACATGCGCTTTGTCAAAAGCTTCCAACGGATCGCTGCACCATTGACGCGACTTCAGTCCCCCTTGGTGCCCTTCGAGTTCAACGACGAAGCCCGACACGCGTTCCTTACGATGAAGACGGCCTTGCTTCAAGCTCCCGTCTTGAGCATCTATGACCCGACCTTGCCAACCAAAGTGACTATGGATGCTTCCGTCTACAACATTGGCGCGGTTTTGGAACAACATGACGACACAGACTGGCATCCGGTTGAGTACTCAAGCCAAAAGGTGCCGCCCATAAATTCCCTGGATGATGCGAGCAAGAAGGAACTGCTAGCTAAGCGTTGGCATCACTTTCTCCTCGGACGTCGACGATTCACGTCGACAACAGACAACAATCCGTTGACTTATTACAATACGCAAGACACAATGAGCAGCACGATTGGTCGCTGGATGTATTTCATTGACCAGTTCAACTTCACCTCCAAGCATATTCCGGGCCCCTCAAACAAGGCAGCGAATGCTCTCTTGCGAAGACCCGATCTTTGCGCCTTGGTGCACTCCACATTCGGCCTCGACGAGGACCTGCAACAACATTTTGTAAACGACTACAAGTTGGATTCGGGATTCTCCACACTCTACGCGGACTTACCATCGGATCACCCGCCGGCAAGCAATTATCGCATCGTCGATGGCTACTTGCTTCTCCATACGCGAGGCAAGGACTTGTTGTGTGTTCCCCAAAACCGCATCTTGCGCACTCGCCTCCTTGGCAAATACCACGATTCGCAGCTGGCGGGACACCTTGGTGTCGCACGCACACTTGCACGACTGCGCCAGCGATTCCACTCGTCAGACATCACCGACGACGTCAACCGGTACATTCAGTCATGTGTAGTTTGCCACCAAAACAAAGGGCGCCATCAGCTCCCGTACGGTGAACTGAAACCATTACCGATTCCTCGGGAACCAAGTCTCTCCATTGCCATGGATGTGACCGGTCCTTTCCCTCGCAATCGCCTTGGCCATGATGGTATTCTCACGGTCGTCGACCGTTTGAGAAAGTACACTCGATTTCTTTCGTGCAAGCATCATGCGACGGCTCCCGAGCTAGCACGACTTTTGCATACCGGTTGGTTTTGCAGCCACGGCATCCCGAAAGACATCGTCAATGACCGCAACACTCGTTTCATGTCAGCCTTTTGGACAACACTCATGGTGGAATCCGACACCAGCATGGAACCAAGTTCCGCACGGCATCCTCAAACGGATGGGCAAACGGAACGTGCGCACCAGACTGCGCAGATGATGCTCCGCACACTCATCCGCCCGGGTCGGACAGACTCGGTTGAACGCCTTCCCGACATCGAGTTCACCTACAACACTTCGGAGCACCCAGCGATCGGCGTGACTCCATTTGAGTTGCATCACGGTGGACGGAAAGGCCGCATCTTCGCAGACATTTTGCTTCCACGGGCTGCCGATATCGACGTCGCTTGCTCCCCCGCTTCTACACGGAAGTACAGAGATCTGCTGGCCAAAGCCCGCACAAATATGCAAAAGGCTCAGGTCCGCATGCAGCAGCAAGCGAACCGGCGTCGCATCCCATGTCCAATCTGCGCCGGCGACCTTGTTTTGGTCACCTCCGAGGAATTCGCACTCGAGCAGCATGTCTCAAGCAAGCTCCTCCCTAAGTGGTTTGGGCCATGGAAGGTCACTTCAGCAGCTGGCGACGACCCCGCGGGTCCCTCTTTCGTGATCGAGATTCCCCCGCATTTTACGGTCCACCCAGTGCTTCACGCTTCGAAGTTGGCAGTCTACACTACAGCCTCCCCAACGGACTTTCCGGGCAGACTGTCACAAGACCCCCCTTCAATGGACAGTGTTAAGCCGAACCAGGCCCGGGTTCGGGACACTTCTCGCAGGCGGGACAGAAGAGTGGACGGAGGAAGGAGCGCACGGGAGCAGGCACGTGCACGACGCACGCGCGCACTTGCGTACCGACGAGATCGGGCGCACCACTGGGCACGTTCGTGCGCACACCCGTGTACAAGGGGATCAGGCTTACGCTGCGCACGCCCACACACGGGCAGGGATAAGCAGACGGGCGTACCCGCGCGCACCGGCGTACCGCAGGATCGGACACACTGCCGCGCGCGTCCGCGCTCACACCCGTGCACAGTCAAATCAGGTGCATCACGCACACGCGCGCACGCAGCGTACATTCGGGCAAGCGGGCGACCGCGCTTGCGCCGCGCGCACCCGCTAGCACCTGCGAACGGAAGGAGGGAGCGGCGGGGACGACCGGGCGCACCTGCGCGCACCCGCGCACGGAAGGAAGGAGTAGCGGAGCGGGCGCGCGTGCCTGCGCTCACCGGCACGCGGGGGGGGAAGAGCATCGGGGCAGCTGCTCGCGCCTGCGCGCATCCGAACACTGAAGGAGGGAGCAGCGGGGACGACTGCGCGCACCCGAGCGCGGAAAGGAGAAGCAGCGGGAGGGCGCGGACGCACCCACGAACACCGCGCGCGGAAGGAGGGAACAACGGGGACGACTGCGTGCACGCTCGCGCACCCGCGAGATAGGAAGAGGGAGCCACGTGGTACCGCGCACACTCGTGCGTTAACGTGAGTGGACAGGGAAGCTGCGCACCACTGCGAGTACCTGCGCACTTGCGCGAACGAGCGGGAGAGCTAGCGCGCGACTCGGCGTACCTCCGCGCCACCGCTGAGAGACGGGGGAGCGGGCGCACAGCGGTGCGCTCACCTGCGCGCCATTGACACGACGAGCGAAGCCAGCGCGCACCCTCGCCTGTGCGTAATGGTACGAGGAAGCTTGGGAGCAGCTGCTCGCCCATCCGCGGTGCCGTTGTTAGGAGACGGGGACTTCGGGCACGAACGGGGGGTAAGCTCGCGCGCTACTGAGCGTGACCCTGGGCACGACGGATCGGGACGCAGGCGGAGGCTGTGCGCACCAGTGCGCACCTGCACACAGCGGATTAGGGGAGCCGCGGACCAGACACCGCAGGTGTGATCGGGATTGGGCGTACAGATCGCGGATCACATCAGAAGCTCGACGTGCGATCAGTAGAGATCATACCGGTGCCGTGGGCCATCAGGCACAGTCAGGACATCGGGCAAGACGGCTCCTTTGGGCGCGGTCAGATCATCGAGCGGACCGAACAGGGCTTTTGGGCGCAGTTGGAACGTTGGACCGAACAGGGCTTTTGGATGCAGTTGGAACGTCAGACCGAACAGGGCTTTTGGGTGCAGTTGGAACATCGGACCGAACAGGGCTTTGAGGCGCATTCTGGATACCGGGCGGACCGGGCCTTTTGGGGCACAGTTGGGACACTGGCCGAGACGGGCTCTTTCCGGGGGTTACATGAACATAGAAGGGACACATTCCGATTAGGGCTCCACAAAGGGGCACATTCCGAACAGGGCTCCACGAAGGGGCGCATTCCGAACAGGGCTCCACGAAGGGGCACATTCTGAACAGGGCTCCCCGAAGGGGCACATTCCAAACAAGGCTCCACGAAGGGACACATTCCGAACAGCGCTCCGTGAAGGGACACATTCCAAACCAGGCTCTACGGGGAGACACATTCCGGTACTCTCCGAAGAGGCACATCCGAATCACGTACGTTCCGGGGGGGGCACATCCCGAACTCGTACGCTCCGAAGAGGCACATCCCGATCGCGTACATTCCGAGGAGGCACGTCCCTACCACGTACGTGTTGCAGAGGTACATCTCGAACAGGCACTTTCCGAGGAGGTACATCTCGAACAGGTACATTCCGAAGAGGTACTTTGAAGAGTTACTTTTCCCGAACCGGGCCGTTTGAAGGGGTACGTCGCGAAGAGGTATGTTTGAAGGGGTACTTTTCCTCAACCGTGTCAGCCGAAGGGGACACATCGCGAAGAGGTATTCTTGACGAGGCGTATTCTGATCAGGGCTTCCGGGGGAAGCACATTTCGGACGGGCCCTTGGAGGCATGGTCAAGGTGGACCTAGAGCTTTGGCCCCAGTGGGCGAGAGAGGCAACTTCGGATACGGAGAGTTCTAGCACCGTTCCCTGGGACCAACGGGCCCGTTACCGGCGACACCCGGTCGGGAGGAGGGTTAGGCCCAGGCGGATGACTAGATCCATAGGCACCCAAACGGACTTCCCAGACATAGGGGCGGGACATACGGTTGAGGCTGGAACTAGCATTTTACACCCAACGTTCTATTTGTTCGTTCCAGACGGCGACTTGTGATTCATTTGTGCATTTGCTTCGGTCTGTCGCGGTCCTTGCTTTTGTGGATGTGGACTGACGTGGTTTGTGCAGGTTACAGGAGCCCCGACCAGCCCTCCCGCGGGTGACAGACGCGGCGCGAGGTATAGGGTTTGGGCGGAGTGCCAGCAGAGCCGTTCTCCCGGTCGACAACGGTCACCAAGAGGTCGACCGTGTCCTTGCTAATAGCAAGCACAACAACAAACCGATGTAGTACAAAGTCACATTCAAGCAATGCGCTCCTGACGACACACGCTGGATTTCGCGAGCTGACCTGAAGGCGACAACACCCCTCATCTTCGCACATTACGAAAAACAGCGACTTGCTAAGGAGGCTGCCCAACCCGCCCGGCCCACACGGACGTCGGACAGACAGCTTCGCCCTCGCAATTAGCTCGGTCTTCAAGGGGGGGAGTGTGTGGCATTCTACCACCACACGGGCCCCAGTTAGGGCCTGGTTCCGTAGTTAGGCTTAGTTTAGGGCTAGGGTCAGGGGTCACGTCGGTTCAGACCGGTAGGTCGGCCCAGAGGCCGAGTAGGCCAACGGTCACAAGGGGCAGGCCGGTACCGGTCCAACACCAGGACCTACCGACGGCGCAGTTTAGGCGCCACTTTCAGATTTCGGCATCAGATCTGAACCGTTGATTTGATCAACGGTCCAGACCCGAGGGTACCAGCAGCATTGAGGCTGGCCCAACATTATATCAGCCGGGTACCAGCCTCAATAGGCAGGTTAGTCAAGGACAGCGTTTCAGCGTTAGAATAGCGGAGCAGCAAGGAGATTAGCGCAGCAACGATTAGCGCCAGTTCTCTGGCTCAGCACGCAGCCCAGCGCCATAGCTACATCGCCAAGCTCGGCCTCGGCGGACTTCGACAGAGACGGCGCGGCCACCCAGGTATCAGGGAGAAAGGCTTCGCCTTTCTTCCCTCTTCATGTTCTTCTCCCCTCCTCCTCCGCCTTCTTTCTCCTCCTGCCCTAAGTCTACTTCTTGGGTTACTCCTACTGGACTACTACGAGTATGAAGGATGCTTACGAGTTCTGATGATGTAGGAGATAACAACATTGAGACTTTCGGTTGAGGACTAGTTTTGGGATCGGACTTCATCTACCTCTGGAGATGCATCTTGGCATTGGGAGATCGGTACCTGGGACACTGTGAGACTCTGTATTCGCGACATTTCGGATTTTCGCTACTTGTGACATTTCAATACACTATTTTTGGAGACATTGAGTTGACGTCATCTTCCCTCTCCTCCTCCCCTCCATTCATTTGTGTATGAGATCAGACCCTGGCCCTTTCTTCCATGTCCCAAGGCCAGGGCTTTCACACCACCGATGCATGTTTGTGCGGGATTTGTTGCAGTCTGAGTCAGGTCTGAGTCAATCCATGTGTATCAAGTCTTCCGCTGTAATTGTATTTGCTTTGTATTATCAGGTTGGTTTTGGGGATCTGCGCCATACTTATGTCTGTGTTCACGAGCATGCAACACCGCCCCACCCCTCACACACACACACACACACACACACACACACACACACATGAAGGAATGTATATTTCGATGTTCAAGCAGAAGATTCAATCGATTTTGCTCATCCTATCGATGGAAGTTGCACGAGGGCAGCCGCGAGGTTCGAGACTTACCTGTCTGCCGGTGCGTTGCTCATCCTATCAATGGAAAACTTTCTCTCTCTCTCTTTCTCTCTCTCTCTCTCTCTCTCTCTCTCTCTCTCTCTCTCTCACACACACACACACACACACACACACACACACTTGCCTATTTCTGCGATTGATGATGTTTCTGAGCTTGTGGAGGGAACAGAGTTAGACGGCGAGGAGAGTGTTGAGGGTAGCATTCTCGCCGCAGTAGTAAAGACTAAGGCAGGTGGTCGCGGCAAGGGCGGTCAGCAAAGGAGTCAGGGGCAAGCCGCCAACCCAGAAAAAATAGTTGTTTGGGTAAGGGCAGGTTTGGATCAGGAAGTGTGGCGGGACCGTTGGTCAAGGGGAGCTTGCATAAACTGCGGCGAGTACGACCATACACAGTTTAAGTGCAAGAACCCGAAGGTCTTGCACAAGATCCCTCCTAAGGGTGGGTATGCTTCTTCTCAGTCTGGGGCCTCTACGAGCTCCAGCTCGGGAAACAATTAGGGCCGGTAGAAGTAACTGCTTCTACTCTCGTTGAAGTGGGTGATGTACCCTCCCCGTTTCAAGAGTTGGCCGAAGCTATTGACTCCTTAGTCACCCCGCAGACGC